CCGGGTGAATCGCAATCCTTTCCAGAGTGCTGCAGGGTGCCACACAACGTTAGCATTGATAGATGTGCAAACATGATTCACAAGATAAATCCATAGATTTCCAATAGGAATTCAGCATGTTAAAAGCATTCTGACCTATTGTGGGCTTTCTAAGTTTTTTGCAACAAAAGAAATTGCTCCTTCTGTAGTCAAAAGTCAAGTGAAAGCTAAGAGCTGGCATTTTTCAAGGGGTGCCTTGAGTCTAAATGGGTTGAGAATCTTGTCTTTAGGGTGAAGAAAGATCACAGGATCTTCCTGACACTGAAATGAAACCAGATGGGGGACATTCTGTGTTAGTGGAAGATAGGACAGATAGAAACAAGGTATTGTCAATCTACGCAACACCTGGTAGCAACATGTCACCAAGAGAAACAACATAACGGGACTGCTCAAGAAGTCTGGCTGCTCCTAGGATGATTAATAACTACAGCCTTGTAAACTGAGCCAAGGGTGTACAAGCAGCTTGTTTTCACGCTTCAGGACACAGCACAGCCACTTGAAGGGAGCAAGATGGGCTGCTTGCTTTACACAATAGCACACATGTGCATTGGGGTCAGAGGTTGGTGTTAGACTTTCTGGCTTTGCCTTTCTCAGAAGGAGCAGGCATTAGCCACTGACCTCCAGGAACCAAAGCTGTAACCTGCTATGCCACGGATCAGTGAGCTGACCAGTACAAAAGGATACTGGACTATTGGCAGGCTCTACGCTGCTCTGGTGTACAGTGCCTAAGACTGAAAAGCACTGGCTACTCATTGCAATGAGAGGTTGGCAGGGCTCCGCATTAGTGAGTGTGGTGTGTGCCTTTTAATTTAACTGCTCTGCCTATGCAGGAAGAAGGAAAAACTTTTACCCCTGACAGCTACAGCTCAAATTACACTAGCAACATTTTTTTAAATGACTCCTTGGTGAACTCCTATTTGAAGTGCATTGATTGAAAAACAAATATACACAACCGAAGGAGAGAAAGCAAAGGAACCAGACTAAAACCAGCAGTAGGTCAGTGCTTAAATTCATTTGGGATGATACAAAACTAGGAATGAAGTGGGACTCCAGATGTACTTCACTAAGTCATGGGAGCACACAGTGCTCTCCAAATGTCTGGAAAAGGTAAACACGCTTTCCTGATGAAGGGGGGGCATGTGATTCAGAGCTTGCCGGGCCAGAGCAGAGTATGTCGCTGCAGATCTGGCTTTGATGTCTGAGAAGAACACATGGGACGTGTTGGAATGTCAGGCTTGTACTGAAGGTGTCAGCAACTGAAGGCAACAGCCCCTTTGAAAACCTGTCCCCTCCCCCCTCTGTGTCAGTGATGAGCTCCAGCTGCAAGATTTTGGACTTGGATGAGAAATGATGCAAAGTTTGGGGGGTCTCTGGAGCTGGGATTCTGCTTGGCTCATAGTTGGCCAATGCAGAAAGGAGTCTGGAAACTCTTCCAACAGCTGTTTATGAAGA